CACAAAAATGGATATATGAATATATTTTTTTATCTTTATATAGTTTAATGGATATATAGACAGATAGATATGAACATGTATACAAATAGTCATGCTGATACGATATGAAGATCTCTCCCATTACGAGACAACGGATTCGCCTCTACCGATCGTCATTCAGCTTTGATGGATACATAGAAATGGGTTGACCTCGTTGTCGCAACTTGGTATTGTTGTCAGGGCGACTAAGTAGAAAGCAATGAGTCCGAAGTCGTCTGCCATAGTAGTTGTCATCAGTCCCAGCATCGGACAGTGGACTTGGTACATTCTCAAACGATTCGCCGGCATCATCAGTGAGTCTTGTTAGGAACTCGTCAAAGAGACAAGTAAGTCAATGCCTCGACAACCGTTCTGCTGGAAACGGTTACACTATCACTCCTCTTTCTGTCATTGTCTATCTAGTACTCTTTACCTATTATCCCCTCACGCTACATCACAACTTATTACTTGCTCACATTCTAATCATCAAAATGTGTGCCCTTTTGTGGCAAACCGAATGTGGCCTCATCACACCCTCTATTCACCCCAATTGGCAATGGGATAAGAGGGTAAAGAGTGGATAGATGGACCGGGACAGAAAGAGGAGTGAGAGTGTCACCGTTTTCGGCCGAACGTTTGTCGATGGATCGAGTTCACTTGTCTCTTTGACGAGTTCGTAGTTTGATGCCGGTGGTAGGTTTGAGAATGTACCAAGTCCACTGACTGATGCTGGGAGTCATGACAACAAATATGGCAGATGGTTTCGGACTAGGTGCGTTCTACACAGTCGCCCTGACAACAAGGCCAAGTTGCGACAACGAGGTCAACCCACTTGTACGAATCGAAAGGAGACTGCGACCACACCAGAGGCCACAACATCTTAGTCTTCACATCTTTGCTGGATACAGTCTTCGTCGTGACGACGTCTCATGCTTTCTAACATGTCACGTCCGTGAACAGACAGCAGCGGGCGAGGACAGCATGTTTGTCCCAATTGAGTGTGACTGGCCGATGCAGAACTGTTCCGAACAAAGTGCGGACTCGGCTTGGGCGCACGGTTCTGCGACTCCAATGCCTCGCTGCCGGCCGTTCGTCTGTCCCGTCGTGGCGAACGTCGTCGAGGCCAGC